ATAGCCCGCGTAGCGGGTTATTTTAAAGTGTGTACCACATTTTTTATGTTATTTTGAATAGACAGAAAAAATATTACAGTCATTTCTTATAATTTAATTCTTATTTTCATTTTAAACCAGAGTAAATCATGAAAAAACATTGATGACGTCAAGGTCACATGACAAAATTATGTCTATGAGCTGATAAACAAAACAACGTCAGCCAATCGGAAGACGTGTTACATCCAAAATTAAATTATTTGTTTATAGTCTGACAACAGATTTACTAAGTATTGCGCAACAGCACAGTGTATTGCACAACAGCAAGAAATCTTTAATTGAATATAAATTCAATTCATATAACCAATTTCAAGTTCTTTGACTACAATTATTCAGAAACCTATAATATGTCAAATATTTAATACAATCCAAATTCAGACCTGTATCAAGCTTGAATATTGTGTCCATTTTTGCCCCAACTGTTCAGGGGGGTTGGACCTCTGCAGGCGTATCCAGCTGTGCTCAGCGAAGCAGTTTATTGGTTTATACGCTCGTTTTCGTGGGCCATTTTCATTTACAGAATTATTTAATTTAAAGTAATTCAGAATTTCGATGTTACAACAAAATATTCACCTATTTATTTAAACTGAGCTATCGCAAAATATTAAAAAAATATATAATGGCGACATATTCCTCCCCAAATAATTTTTTTTTTCTGTCTCAAAACACGCACACTTTTCTTTTATCTTTTTTTTTTTAATGTTTTTCACACCTGAAACGGAAAAGCCCTTGAGGCCAAACAACACTTTAGTGAAGATCAAAAGATTAAAATTACATAATGCTAATCTTTTAATTACCTTTACCAGGTAGTGTCAGTATAATACACATTGTATTTACACAGTACTAGCGGGAAATGTTTGCTAGACTGAAGCAAGGATTTGTATAGTAAGACAAATCCTTGACTGAAGTAAAAGGTGAGAATACAAACATGCATTTTTATTACACTGTCAGTTATAAATGTTTGTTCAACATATCCGTCGGAAAAAAAATTCATAAAAATATTCTATTGTATGATTTACTTTTATTACAATAATCATATCAGAAATCCCTAAAATATAAATCGTACATTTTGATTTAAAAGTTGCACGGCTGATCACTTTACTCACTTAATTATTAGTTGGTTAATAGATACGCAAAATAGTCGTTGATGCGCTTTAAATCGCGTTATTAGATGATTAATGAACAAGACTTAACATGAGATTAAATCCACTACCGGCATGCAATTAGACTTAAACTACGTCACAGAAGTCAGGAAGTTCGAATAAATAAAATTAAAAATTCCTAATTTTCTTCTTTATTAGTGTTCATATCCAGATAAAACTTGGTGAATATGTTTTTTTATGGTATTATGAACATAATAAGATGATAAGTAAAAAATCGTGAATTTTCCCTTTAAGAAATGGGGGATTTTCCAGTTTTCGGACAATAACTCAAAAATGCTTTTAGCATGTCTCATGAAACTTCGGTAAATTGTTTATATCTATTGTTGTTAGCTCCCTTTCGATTTTATATATTTTCGATTTTATGTTTCCGAGTTATGAAATTTTATTCATAAAAAAGGGGTGATTATCCAGTTTTCAGACAATATCTTTAAAGTGCTTTGAGCAGTTTTCATTAAACTTTGGTGACTGATTTATATCTATTAAGATAACCTCCCTTTAGTTTTCCATAAATTTTTGTTATGACATTGAGAAGTTATTGAACTTTTTTCTTTTAAAACGTGACGGGCGTATCGTGCGCTTGTGGCGCAGCTGTTTATTAAAAGATACTGTAAAATTTGACTTCTAAGAACAAGGAATTCATCTTCAATCAGTCAATATGTACTTCCTGTTAAAAAACAAATAAGATCAGAGATTTTTCTTACTTTCAACATTGTTCGACCCTTTCTTCAAAACAAGAATTTTCTTTTCTTGATCATCATTAAAAGAAAAAGTTTGGACATAAACAAATCTGTATGCTTTAAACAGGTAGGTTACACTGCTAAACCGATTGTGAAGTGCAAACATCAAAACAATTATTTTTAACAATGTTGTAAAAACAATTCTTTATTTGACATCTGACGATATTTGACCTCACATTTTGATTTAACAATACAATCAACACCTTTATTAATTAGGCAATTGTTGATGATTGCCATCAAATGCAATTAGCTGACTATTGATTTTCTGTCAAAATCGATACACCTGAAAAGTTCAAGGTAAAATCAGAGTATTCTGATCTGGAAAAAGTCTGAGAAACCTGAATAAAAATAACATTAGATGGACGAAGTCGGACTGTTTTTAAATTCTTTCGCCATTCTTGATTTTTAATCACCACAATTTTTCTTTTTTCACAAGTGACAATGGAAACCCTGCATTTGACCATGATCTTCATTAGTCAATGTTAAGTTTTCATGGTTATGTCTATTTCTCAGATGCTATGAGCAAGAGGTCAACTACTGGTATATTCCCTCTGATTGCAATAAGCAATAGTCTAACTATATTCAGTGTATAGTATGCAATTCAATCATGACAAGTAAAGCAGGCGAGACATTTCAATGTGTTGGCTTTTATTTCATCAAGGAAAGTAATATTTGACAGCTGGTCATTGTTCACCTCTGATGTAATTTTCAGAAAAAAATAAGAAAAATCAATTTGGAGTTATTGCCCCTGAATTTTTATGCCCCCGCCGTAGCGGAGGGGGCATTAGGTTTTACCCTTGTCCGTCTGTACGTCCGTCCCAAAGTTGGTTTCCGATCTCTAACTTTAGTTTGCCTCAATCAAATGCTATAAAACTTGTACACAATGCTTATTACCACAAAACACAGATCAAGTTCGAATTTTGGTGGCGTCACTTCAACCGTTCTAGAATTATGCCCCTTTACAAATGGAAAAATTGCTGAATTTTTTGTTTCCGTTCTCTAACTTAAGTTTGCCTCAACCAAATTTTATGAAACTTATACACAATACTTATTACCACAAAACTCAGATCAAGTACAAATTTGGGTAGCGTCACTTTTACTGTTCTTCAGTAATGTCCCTTTATAACTTTATATGATATGCAAGCGGGGGCATCATCTGTGTCCAATGGACACATTCCCCATTTATTTATTTTTATCGTATGGAAATTTCAACATTTTGGTTATATTACCTTGAAAACTATAAAAAAATTAAATTGTCAATTCAACCCTAGCATGACGAAATTGAGCAATTCTTTACAGGATTATTACAAGTTATTGCCCTCTTATGTTTTACTAATTTTATTTTGAAAACTGTAGCTAGGATACATATAAATTGCAATCAAATAAAATGATCATCAATTCAAGATTTAAGAATATCACTAAATAAGATTTATTTACAAATAAGCATACAACTAATTGCAATATAGGTCAAAATAGATACCTAAACAGCATTTTTTTATCAGATTTGTTTTTCAGATTTTGGTAGCCTCTTGTTCATTATGCATACAGCATACAAGAGTAAGTTCAAAATCAGAAAAAAATGTTTTCCAGAAGGATAGCATGTCTTTTTGCAGACTGTGTTCTTTTGGACAGGGTAGTATATCAAGATTCTGACTTAGGGAGACAGTCTTGTATAAAACCAGTATTTTCATATTTCATTACCTTGTTATGAATGTGAGTTTTGCATCTGTGTGTTGTAGAAATATATCAATTATTAAAGAAATGAACCTATTTAATACAGACATAGTTCCATACAAAAAATTATAATCTAAAAACAATTCATTCTGTTTTAGGAAATCAGCAACATGGACAAGAATTGGTGCCTTTATGGAATGTTGTTGAATTCACTATATCTTTGACTACTCCTTCAGGGCGTCAAACAAACACTCCTAAGCTGGAGCAGTTTGAAAAAGCTGCATTACAGTTTTTAATCTTGGAGAAAAACACTATTAAAGCCCTCTTAAAAGAAAAATTTCAGGCAGGTGCCAAGGTAAAAACACTAACAGGCAAGTTAGAATTTGCATTAGTTTCTAAAGAGGATGCTAATATTGGAGATGTGACTAAAGATGCATTAGAAAGATTGCAAGCATTAACCAAGCAATTGCTTGCAAATGAAATTGTCATTCAAGGGGATGACTATATGCCATTGATTTGCGCTGATATTTTGCCAACAATTAACAGGAAAAAAGTAGATATCTACACAGAACAGGATAAACTGATTGTTGTTGGGTTTAGACCAGAAGCTGAAAATGTATATAGAGAGGTAAATAAAATTTTGAGTTCACAGCCACAAAAGCATCAGCTTATCAAAATACCGTTTGCAAATTGTAATCATGAATGCTTTGGTCAACTTAGAATTATGACTGCTTTGCAAACACTTTATCCTTCAGTTGAAATATCTTTAAAACCTGATGGTCACTGGTTTAAAGGAGAGGAAAAGGAAGTAGGGAATTGTATTGGAGACTTTCACAAATATGAACAAAAAATAGAGTTTTCAGAAGAGAAATTCACAAAGCCTTTTTTAAACTTATTACAAAGACCTGAAACAAAAGCTTACATTTATAAGGTTTTTCAAGGGAAAAACCTTGATAGCTATTATGAAGTAGATACCAGCTCAGAAATGGTCTCATCTTTTGCCTTGTCCAAATCGAAAGCAAATGATGCATTACAGTGTATTAGAAATTGCTTTTCAGAAATGACATTAAATAAAGTTGATGATCCCTTCTTTATTTTAATGGGATGCAACCGCTGCCAAGCAATTGTTTCCTTTAACAAAGATAAGAAATTATCAAAGCAAGAAGAAAAGGATAAACTTGTCTTTTTTGGGACAAACGATGTAGTTACAGAATTACATGAGGTGGCTGTTAGCCTGGCAAAATCACAGTTAGAGTCAGTTCAAACTCAAGAAGGTGCAGGGAACACACACCAACTTCCTATTTCAAAAAGGTACACAATAGAAATTCCAAATTCAGTTCAGTATTTTTTAGATACAAATAGGCAATGGGCAAAGCAAGTTAGTGTAATGGTTAAACATATTCCAGGAGCAGAAATACAAACCGAGAAAAATGGAAAATTTCTCCATATTGAGGGAACAGAACCTGAGGTGAAGGAATCGGTTGAAAGAGCAAAATCCCTTTTAGAAGACTTACAAGTTAAGAAAACTGAAGATGTTAGTGAAGGTTATCACTACTTTTTTAATAGAAAAGAAGTTCAGATGTATCTCACTGATATTTTTATGCAAAAGGGACTTTTTGTCTTTATAACCACCACCTCTGCTGTTGATTCATACAAGATACATGTTATTGGCACTGATGACAAGAGTGTATGTAACGCATGGAAAACTATAAAAGCAACTATAAAAGAGGAATGCTATTCTGTAGGGATAAGCAAAAGACTGCAAGAGAAGTTAAGTCAAGTTGAGAAAGATTTTCAAGGAAAAGCTATGCTTGAAGGAAATGATGTTGGTTGTGACACACTAGAAATCTTTTCAACAAGCGATGTTCATGATATATTTTACAAAAAAATCATTGAGGTTATTGAGTACAATAATGCTACAGAACAATATTGTGAAAAAACTCTTAATGTTAGAAAGGAAAAGGTGGAATTTATAACTCCTTGGTTACAACAAATTGCAGAAAAATATGAAGTACCAGTGAAAAGCATTCGACATAGACCAGACCTGTCTACTATTATCATCACTGGATCTAAGGAGTCAAACAAACAAATATCAGAAGAATTAGTTGAAAAGTTCAATTCTGTTAATATTAGTTGTGTTCTTCTAGAAGGAAATGATGCTGACTACTTTAAAAGTACCAATGAGGACAAAACAATTGCAAGGGAAAACAATTGCAATCTGAAAATAACTGGAAGACAAACAAAGGCAGCAAGTTGTTATGTTGAACAGGATAACCATGTCCTTGTTGAAATTGTTTGTGCAAGAACTACAGACATGGAGGTGGATGTTATAGTCTGTCCAACAAATGATTGTTTATTTTCAATCGGAGAAATGGATGAAGTGCTAAAAGGTATGTATATCATATGTTTATTTTAAAGATTCAGGGTACCTTAATTATTGTTCTCATTATATCAAAACTTATATTTACAGAAATGAATTAGGTAAAGATATGTACACCACCATGTGATCGGAATATGAATATAATTAGTTTTCAAATTTAAATGTTTACACTGCTTGTTCCATATAAAAAATAAATTTTCAAGAAGAAAATGAAAAGATATGATGTATGACATCATGTACATATGAGTTTTCAAAGGAGTAGAGCCAGTAACTCCAATAAATGTTGCTTTAAAGATGTTTATTAAGACTTTAACTGTTTTTCGAGTGAATGTGTATGCATTGCTAAATGTACAACATGTATTATTTTTTAAATGTATAGATGTGGATTTAGGAGGGGGAGGTACAGAGGACTTTATGTCAACATAAAACATGTAAAAGGTGATGTACAAATAATGTATATTTACTGGAATCACTTGGGTACATGACATAATATTGTTTTGTAGAAAAATATGGCAGGAGATGAAATATGCTGTATGATTTGTGGTCAATTTGACTCTTGTTATTGAATTATTTAATTTTTTCATTCTACTTTTTGAAAAAAATCATAAATTTATCCTTTGATATTGCTTTATTTTTTCAGATGATAAAGAACTGATGGAAGCAGCCCAGAAGTATTGTTCCTCTCATAGCAAGAAATTCAGTACTGGTGAAATTCTCTTTGTGGATGCCAGTCCTTCATACATGACCCATACTGTAGCCTTGTGTGTATTTTCAGAGAGAAATTCAAAACAGGATTCATTGCAGTCCATAAAAATTGCTGTAGCAAAGATTCTAGAAAAATGCTCCAGTTTAGGGTTGCAGAGAATTGCTTTACCCATACAGATATTTGAAGACCAGCCAGTGCAGGATCAAGCTCAGGCATTATACACAAGCGTGAAATCTGCAATTACAAACAAAACCTCTGTGAATGAAATTTACCTCTGTTTCTTAGATCCATGCATATTAGATCTCTGTTGTTCTGAAGCAGCCTGTTTTTTCCACCCAAATTATGAAAGTTATGACTGGAGTGCTTTAAATGTCAGTTCCAACATTAGCAGTGATTTGAAAAAAGGTGAATATATAATATGTATCAACAAAAATTATTCTAAAATTAGTAATTACCATAATTACTGTACGCAAAAATTACTGTGTTGAAAAATCTGTTTAGTTAGTCTGTTCAGTTAAAATAAGTTGATTTTAAGTTTTTGATAACTCATGAAGTATGACCCCTAGCAGAAAAAACTAACACTTACATTATGTAATGTAATCAGTGTGTCGAAGTTCAAGAAGTACAAGAATATTTGAAATGTTTGAAAAGTTGAGAAAACATTACAGGTTGATTTACTGTACAATATTCAGATTTAATATAATAAATGGTAATGAAAAAAAACAAAGAAAATAAAAGTAAAATACATGTAACGACTGATGCTGTAGTTAAAGAATTAAGCAGCCCTAAAATTTTAACAAGATAAAGAGAAGTAATAGTTCATAATGAATGATACAGTTGCTTAGAAGATCAATTTTGTAGAGTGATTATTTTAATAGTCTATTAAGAACAATCACTGGAAATTTAACAAATTTTTAGAAAGGAGAAACTGATAGAATAAATGAGATCACTGGTTTTTGTCGAGCCTGCGACTTTTGTCGCAGAAAGCTCGACATACGGATAGTGATCTGACGGCGGCGGCGTTAGCTTACTTCTTAAAAGCTTTATATTTTAGAAGCTAGAAGACTTGGATGCTTCATACTTTGTATATAGATGCCTTATGTTACGAAGTTTCCTTCTGTCATATGTCCATTGTCCTTGACCTCATTTTCATGGTTCAGTGACTACTTGAAAAAAAGGTCAACTTTTTTTGTAATGTTAATTTCTTTCTTATTATGAGTAATAGGATAACTATATTTAGTATGTGCGTACCTTGCAATGTCCTCATGCCCGTCAGACAATTTTCATTTGACCTCGACCTCATTTAATGGATTGGTGAACAAGGTTAAGTTTTCGTGGTCAAGTCCATATATCAGATACTATAAGCAGTAGGTCTACTATATTTGGTATATGGAATGATTGTAAGGTGTACATGTCCAACTGGTAGGTGTCATCTGACCTTGACCTCATTTTCATGGTTCAGTGGTCAAAGTTAAGTTTTTGAGTTTTGGTCTTTTTTTCTTATACTATATGCAATAGGTCAACTATATTTGGTGTATGGAAATATTTTATGATGTACATGTCAGTCTCATAGGTTTTATTTGACCTTGACCTCATTTTCACAATTCATTTCTCAGTGTTAAGTTTTTGTGTTTTGGTCTGTTTTTCTTCAACTATAAGCAATAGACCAACTACATTTGTTGTATGGAATGATTGTAAGGTGTATATGTCTGTCTGGCAAGTATCATCTGACCTTGATCTCATTTTCATGGTTCATTGGTCAATGTTAAATTTTCATGGTTAAGTTTGTTTCTTAGATACTATAAGCAATATGTCAACTATATTTAATGCATAAATTGATTGTAAGGTGTACATGTCTGTCTGGCAAGGTTCATCTGACCTTGACCTCATTTTCATGGTTCATTGGTCAATGTTAAGTTTTCTTGGTTAAGACTGTTTCTTAGAAACTATAAGCAATAGGTCAACTATGTTTGGTTTATTGAATGAATGTAAAGTGTACATGTATTTCTCGTTTGGTTTATCTGACCTTGACCTCATTTTCTTGTTTCATGTTAAGTTTATGTGTTACTTGTAGTAAAGCTTTATATTTAGGACTATCAACATAAAATCAATGGTTAGTAAAGAAGGCGAGACATTTCAGCGTGTGCACTCTTGTTAATTGTGCAAAGAATTTAGAATTTGTCTGCTGCATTTATGGCCATATTGGCCAATAAGGCTAATTTTTAGCTCACCGTTCCGACATCAATTGGCGTCCGTCGTCATGTAAACTATTTCAAACATCTTCTTCTATGAAACTACTGAACCAATTCCTACCAAATTTAAGCTGAATGATCCTTAGGGTATCTAGAATAAAGTTTGTGTTTTATTTCCTGTTTTGTCAAAAAAACATGGCTGCCATGGCTAAAAATAGAACATTGGGGTAAAATGCAGTTTTTATACGCCCGTTTACGGGACATATTATGGTATACCGTAGTCCGTCTGTCTGTCCATCAGTCTGTCCGTCCGTCATCAATACGTCGGACATTAACTCAAAAACACTTTAACCAATTTGCATAAAACTTTGGTGAATTGTTTATATCTATTGATGTGAGCTCCCTTTTGTTTTTTATAAATTTTAGATTTTACGTTTCCGAGTTATGGGGTTTTATTCATTAAAAAAAAGGGATTTTCCAGTTTTCGGACAATAACTCAGGAATGCTTTCACCAACTTGCAAGAAATTGTGGTGAATTGTTTATATCTATTGACATGATTGACATGAGCTCCCTTTCGATTTTTATATATTTTAGATTTTACGTTTCCGAGTTACAGGGTTTTATTCATAAAAAAAGGGGGATTTTCCATTTTTCGGACAAAAAATCAAAAATCCTTTAGCAGTTTTTATGAAACTTTGGTGAATTGTTTATATCTATTGATGTCATTTAGAATTTTATAAATTTTTCATTTATCATTTCTGAGTTATGGGGTTTTATTCATTAAAATAGGGGGGATTTTCCAGTTTTCGGACAATAACTTCAGCAGTTCTTATGAAACTTTGGTGAATTGTTTATATTTATTGATGTAAGCTCCGTTTAGAATTTTATAAATTTTTAGTCCCCTACTGACGAAGTCAAAGGGGACTTTAGGTTTGCACTCTGTCCGTCTGTCTGTCAGTCCGTCAGTCTGGCAAATCAGCTTTCCACACTTTTTTTCTTCGTTCTTGAAGATATTGATTTGATATTTAAGTCTCCCAAACGAAGTTTGGGAAGACTTATTGTTTTTGCTCAGTTCTTATTATGGCACCCTCAACGGAGTTGGGGTGACATACTGCTATTCTACGTTTCTTTTTTTTCTTATTATTTTTCTTGCACAAATTTTGTCCGCGCGAGTTCTTGGAATCCAATGGACCAATGTTGATGGAACTCTACTATAATGAGGACCCCCATGTAAAGTTGTGCACCTTGCTATGGAATGGTAAAAAATGGCTGCCGTTTCCATGGAAACAGCAAAAATGCGAAAAAAATCAAAGTGTTCCAAACTGGAAGAAACTCCACAGGAATGGTAACTGGCATGTGCTGATTTGCAGTTTGACTTCGGAATTTTCAAAATGGCTGCCATTACCATGGAAACAGCTAAAATATCAAAAATTCTAACTCTTCCGTTATAAGACCTAACTGGATGAAACTTAATGAAAATGTTACCCAGTATGCCAAGATGCCAAGACAATATTTGGATACTCCAAAATGGCCGCCGTTGTCATGGAAAATGGGGGCAAGTTTAACATTGACCCTATGGGAAAGTGCATAAAGTCAGCATTTTCTTAAAGAGTATTTCACCAAAGTCAATGAAACTGTATTGATATATAACATGACATGTGGCAATGAGATGTCTGCTTTTAGAATTTTGGAATTATCCACTGTAACCATGGCTGCAGCATAAATGTCCAAAATTAAAAAAAAAATCAAAATGCTGCAAATTGGATGAAACTTTACAGAAATGGTAACTGGCATAGGCAGAGATGCATTTTGAAGTTGGAATTTTCAAAATGGCCGCTGTAACCATAGAAACAGCAAAAATGTCCAAAATTTCAAAATGCTCCAAACTCAATGAAACCTTACAAAAAGGATAATTTGCATGTGTAGATGCACTCTTTGACTTTGGAATTTTCTAAATGGCTGCCACTCACCTGGCAACGGGGGAAGGGTGCCATCCGCTATTACTTGCAATTGCAAATCTAGTTATTATTATTCTTCTTCCTCTTCCGCCGCTTTTAAATTTGAACTTGTCCGCACTTGTCTCCAAAACCGCTTGTCAGATTAACTTAGGGTTTCACAAAATGTTAGACTAACATGTCTAGTGGTGCAATCAGGGTTTTGTTTGTGCAATGGGGTTTATAAAGGGGTACTTTGAGGGGCAAACAGAAAGGAGGGTTTTACTATAGAACCCTATGGGATTTTATTTTTTTAAATTTTCAAATGATTATAAATTGAAAACTGTTTGTGATAGACACAATCTTTTTAACTGAAAATTTTCTAAATGATAAAGCACATTATATGAAATACAGGGTTAGTCCCCAGGGGTCACCCCCACCCCCTGCCATTTAAGGAAGTTCTAATATCTTGTAAATGGTCGAGATCCCCATCCCTAAACCATATATATTCCGGTTTGTCATGATAAAGCACATCAAATGAAATACAGGGTAAGTCCCCAGGGGTCACCCCCACCCCCTGCCATTTAAGGAAGTTCTAATATCTTGTAAGTGGTCAAGATCCCCACCCCTAAACCATATATATTCTGGTTTGTCATGCTAAGATGGTTTGAATGATATACAGGGTTAGTCCCCAGGGTTCATCCCGACCCCCCTGCCATTTGAGAAAGTTCTAATATCTTGTAAATGGTCGAGATCCCCACCCCTAAACCATATATATTCTGGTTTGTCATGATAAAGCACATCAAATGAAATACAGGGTTAGTCCCCAGGGGTCACCCCCACCCCCTGCCATTTAAGAAAATTCTAATATCTTGTAAGTGGTCAAGATCCCCACCCCTAAACCATATATATTCTGGTTTGTCATGCGAAGATGGTTTGAATGATATACAGGGTTAGTCCCCAGGAGTCATCCCGATCCCCTGCCATTTGAGAAAGTTCTTATATCTTGTAAATGGTCGAGATCCCCACCCCTAAACCATATATATTCCTGTTCGTCATGTCTTGAACATTTGAATGACGTATAGGGCAAGGCTTCCAAAAAGGTCATATATTCCGGACATTTGTATAATGTCCGGTAAAAGTCAGGCTGGGCAAAGCATGAAACGGACATCTATATTTTAGTTTTCAAGGCTTTCTTAAGAGAAGTCATTTTAACATAATTCACGATCTTTTTGACCCAACCTTTTGCCTTTACAGCCACACATTTCCGGTCATAAAAGTGGCATTATCATTAAGTACTATCTAAACAACCCCTACTTTAATACCTTCTCATTTTAATCAAGGCTAATTAGTTGTCGAACAGCTGAAATTTACCTGTTCAGGTGACAGGTAAACTATTTTGAACCAGACATTGATCGGTCTATTCAAAGTTATTTTCTTACATTTCAGCAGTTAATGCATCTAATTAATTTAGTCAAAAAGATTTAAATTATCAGAAATATGTTTACAAATATGATTTAATGAAAAAACTAAAAAGGTGAAAATGAAAAATCGTCATAACCATGTTGTTTGAACCAGAGACATGTCGCTGTTTGAACTAGTACACGTGTGCGCATGTGCGCAGGTGTGAAATATAATTATGCATCCTAATTTCTTCAAAAATGCTTAAATTGTCATTGATACCTTTATCTCACGTTTATTTCGAATATTTTCTTGAAGAAATAACGTAGAAAGAGCTG